CGCGCTCTGCGACGCCCAATCGCCATTGCCGCCTATCCTCCCAGAGATCATCAGGCAATCGGCACCTTCTGATCTCCTCCTCCACCCCTTGTCGCCAACCTTTCACAGGACGTCCACGCCGTCGCCTTCCGGGAGGAACCCAATCGAAGACCTGCTTGGGCAACCGATCATCTGCCATCCTTCGCACATGTCCATACCAGACCAACTGCATGGACCTGATATCGTGCACGATGTCCTTCTCCACAACCCATTATCTCGCGTACCCTTTCATTGCGGACACGTTCTCTTCTCGATATCCCAGCAGCCCGCCCAACACGGAAATATTTTAAAAATATTGCTGAAATATTGTCAAAAACATTTTAACAATATTTTAACAATATCGAAATAATACTGCTGCAATAGTTTGTTGTCCGCCCCCCTGACAATATTGCAGCAATATTGTCATGGGAATATTGATAATATATATTAAAAATACTTTATCAATGTTGCCAATATATTTCGGCAATATCGATAATATATTTTTAAAATATTTACTTGCAGCAACAACTATTATTAACTATTGCATTATTTCGATATTGTTAAAATATTGTTAAAATGTTTTTGACAATATTTCAGCAATATTTTAACAGTAGTTTTGAAATGGTCCTGCCAATATTTCAACAATATTTTTAAAATATTCCTGACAATATTTTTAAAATATTTAAAAAACATTTTAAAAAAACAAAAATTTCGTAAAATAATTGAAAAACATTTGGAAATCATTACAAAAATAGCTTACGAGAGGAACGTCCCAAGCTGCTGCCTCCGATATGGGCCTTAAAAAATTCGTAAGAACTCTTTGAATGAATCCATTTAGGACCGCGTTTTGTTGTTTTCTCCACGGCGCATCGGGAAAAACATAAGAAACACGGTCCAAATGGATTCATCCAAAGAGTTCGTACGAATTTTTTTAGGCACAGCGAAGGCGGCAGCTTGGGACGTCCCTCTTGTAAGCTATTTTCGTAATGATTTCCAAATGTTTTTCAATTATTTTACGAAAATTTTGATTTTTTAAAATGTTTTTCAAATACTTTGCAAATATATTTCAAAAGTGCCACACATGAAATGCATTCAGAAAAAAAGAGCCAAAAGCTGCATCTGGTATTGCAAATTTTCATTTGGCAATTTAGTTTTTTACAGATGAAATTAAGGTTAGCGTGGGGATTCTGTAGAAATTATGAGGGAATTATCTTGTCAACTTGGAGAAAACTCAGAATTTTTCAAAAGAATCTGCCCTGCAGAAAAAAAATCAAATATTCAATGAAATTTGGCACCAGTGGATGTGACTACTTTCGGTTCTTTTTTCTTTGGTAGATGCGATTCAAATGGGAGGAAAATGTTAAAATACATACTTTCACAATGATTGCGGTGAATATTCTTTTAGTTTTTAGGTTCTTTGCGAATCACTACTGAGAAACTACCGAAAACGTCTATCTGCAGTACTGGCTTTTACAGCAATGATGTGCATATACGAATGTAGTCATTTGAGTGTCAAATTTGAATGAATAAAGCGAAATTAAACAGATAAATGTTCATGTTTATTTGAATGGAAACTATTAAAGTGAATTATGGAGTTTAAATAAAGCGTGACAAAAATAGGACGTTGAGAAAAAGTTTGGAACTTAACTGGTTATAAAGAAAAGATTTGAGATGGTAGTCAGGAAAGGGGACTTGAAGTAAAGAGGCTTTTGACCCAATTATGTTCAACTAATCAAAAGAATTGGTCAAACATTGTTTGACACGAAAAAAACCCTTCAAATTCGAGACAAATTAATAGTGTTTGGTCATTCATTACGGGAAACAACGTGGATTAAGTGTCAGTTCCCCCTTCAAATTCCTTTACACTGACTCTACCTCAGTTCAAAAAAGATACAAAAAGGTGTTCAAAATTATAGAACAATTTCTGAGGGAAAAAAATATTTTAAATACATTGAATTGACAAAATGATAAGAAAAATTTAGCAATAAAACGGAGCAAATAGCGCAGGAAACAACACTGCCTTTTTTAACATAAAAGTAGCCCTAATAATTTTAATGAGGAGATATAGTTACGGTACATGACCAAGTGGTTTTGAAAGTGTTTAGGAGTGAAAAAAAGTCAGACTTATGAGAGAGGGCAATGAAAAAAAAAAAAAAAATTATTCCACTCAGGGAGAAAAATAATTTTGAGAAACTTAAAATGTAAAGTAAATAAGCAGCAATTTGCTGCTTTTAATTATTACAAAATAATCAACTGCATAATGATATAGACTAAATACGGAGATCACTCATTTAAAAGTAAGTAAAAAAATAGCCGTTTGGTAACACAAAGACTGTTGAAAAAGTAAAAAACAAAATATAAAGCACAACATTGAACATGGTATGAAAACCAAGTAATGGCATCACTGACAGCCTAATGTAAAAGACATTTGTCTTTCAAGCTCTAGTCAATTGGAACATTAACCCAGTCAGTTAGGTAAAAACTAAATACTACCTATGGTTTCAGCTTAATACTAAATATAAATGAACAAAAGTAAAGCAGTATCACAAAAAATTGGTGAGAAAAGTAGAAACGTTCTTTGAACAACTTATAGGATAAGAATCAATTTAATCTACAATACAGGGTGTCCGGAGGTTAACGCACTTAACTTTCAGGATCCATTTTTCAGCTCAAAATATGACAACTTTTTCCTCTACACATATGCCCAAAAACGCTCCATTAGTGAGCTATGCGCTTCCAAAGTTGCCATTTTATCTCTTTCAAATTGATGTAACTCCTCATTATTTTGTCGTAAGTAGCTAAAACTTTGTGTAGGAGGATATTATTATTAGCGTACTGATTATTTTTTGTGTTTTCAAGGACGTACGTCTTCGGAAAATGATGTTACCAGGGTTCCCAAATTTTAAAACAGCGATAATTATTTTGGTAGATGATCTGTGGAAANTTTGGTAACACAAAGACTGTTGAAAAAGTAAAAAACAAAATATAAAGCACAACATTGAACATGGTATGAAAACCAAGTAATGGCATCACTGACAGCCTAATTTAAAAGACTTTTGTCTTTCAAGCTCTAGTCAATTGGAACATTAACCCAGTCAGTTAGGTAAAAACTAAATACCACCTATGGTTTCAGCTTAATACTAAATAAATGAACAAAAGTAAAGCAGTATCACAAAAAATTGGTGAGAAAAGTAGAAACGTTCTTTGAACAACTTATAGGATAAGAATCAATTTAATTTACAATACAGGGTGTCCGGAGGTTAACGCACTTAACTTTCAGGATCCATTTTTCAGCTCAAAATATGACAACTTTTTCCTCTACACATATGCCCAAAAACGCTCCATTAGTGAGCTATGCGCTTCCAAAGTTGCCATTTTATCTCTTTCAAATTGATGTAACTCCTCATTATTTTGTCGTAAGTAGCTAAAACTTTGTGTAGGAGGATATTATTATTAGCGTACTGATTATTTTTTGTGTTTTCAAGGACGTACGTCTTCGGAAAATGATGTTACCAGGGTTCCCAAATTTTAAAACAGCGATAATTATTTTGGTAGATGATCTGTGGAAAAACTGATTACAGCACGTGAAAGAGGGTGAAAAATCAAGGCTACGAGGCACTTGTATCTTCCAGAATACGCGTGCACAAAATCTCGAAGTTATCGCGGCTCCATTCTTCGGAAATTTGAAGCCCCTTACTCTGTAGGCAATATTCGTACAGTCCTTGCAGTAAACATTGCCTACTCAGGAAGAAGCTTCGAAAATCTGAAAATTTTTCAAACCTCTGTTGTGTTGAAATGACGCGTTTCTGGAAAATGTGGTGCAGTGCCTCGTTACCTTGATTTTCCGCGCTTTTTCACGTTCCGTAATTTGATTTTCCACTGATCATCTACCAAAAAAATTATCGCAGTTTTAAATATTCGGGAACCCTCGTAACGTCATTTTTCAACACCAAAAATGATCAGTAAGCTAAAAAATATCCTTCAACACAAAGTTTCAGCTACTTACGACAAAATAATGAGGAGTTACTTCAATTTGAAAGAGAAAAATGGAAACTTTGGAAGTGCATATGGTTCACTACTGAAAAGTTTTTGGAGCATATGTGCACAGGAAAAAACAGTCATATTTTTAGCCGAAAAATCTATCCTGAAAGTTAAATAAGTTAACTTCCGGACACCCTGTATACTTCCTTCAGTTTCCAACAATTAAGTTCTATCACTATATGCATAGCACTCTCAAGTGGGGCATTGAATGCCCTGCTTTATCTTGAATTTATAGTCTATATTCCTGCTATTATCTCTTTATAAAAGGGAACTCTGTTCCCTTCAGCTACAGGCACACCTATGGAACTACAGCTTCCAAATTCCAGAAAACAACATCTTTTTACCCTGTACAGCCCAAAATTAGGCTTTACTTGGATCCAATCATTTGCAATTGATTCTGGGTATTATCAATGCTTGGCTTGAAACTAGCAACAACTTAAAAATACATAAGATCGACTTCAAATGGTTTCATCTGTTGTAAAATTATCAGTAGAGTAACAGATATGGACATACAGGTTAGAGAAACTGGTGTTTTGGGAGTTTCATAGAGAGGGCTAAGGGCACTTGTGGCGAAATTACATTTTTAGAGGGGAAAAATAGACTATTTTCCTCATGGAATTCACTCTTCCATTTACAATTTCAGAGTTGGATCTGTACACTGAAGTAAGTAAAAAAAAAATGAGGCACAATAGAAGAGAACAACAAATTAAAATCATTACTAACATTTGCTTAAAGCCACCAAATATTTTGACCTTTAAAGGCTGAAAAGCAATCAAGAATTTATTTGCTTCTTCAAAATTGTAAGTGAAGAAAAACATAGTAGTAAAGAAACATACAAAAAAACACATTGATAAATATTACTAGAGAAACAAATATGAAAATTTTAATGTTCCAAACCTTCAACTCCTGCAACTAAAGAATGCAAAATCTCTAGAATGAAGCTAAGTTTCTTCTGCCTCTGATTCTGACGATAGGTCTAACTGAGAGACTGACAGTCTAGCAGCGCGAGCTGCTCTTCGCTCCTCACTGGAAACAAAAAAGCACATACAACAACATAGAATGTGGAATAGATTTTTATTTTTAAATGATGGTATTTATGCTCCTTAGTATTGGTAGGAAAATAGGAAAGTTCCTTTTTTCTGCAATCTTATAACAGTTACGAAAGCCTCCAAGAACGTATAGTTTTGTTTATATCTATAGTACATCTTTGGAAAATAATGTTACAAGCGTTTCCAAATTTTAAAATTGCGATAATTTTTATGGTAGATGATCTTTGGAAAAACAGATTACAGCACTTGAAAGAGCAGGAAAAATCAAGGCCACAAGACACTGCAAAAAATATTCCAGAAACGCGTCATTGCAACAGAGCTTTAAAAAAATTCCAGATTTTCGAAGATCCTTGCTGGGTAGGCAATTTTTACTGCAGGAACTATGAGAAAAATTGCCTACGGAGCAAGCGAAAAACTTTTCACAATAGCTTCGGGATTTTCGAAGCCCCTTGCTCCGTAGGCAATTTATCTTTCAGTCCCTGCAGTAAGAATTGCCTACTCAGCAAGGAGCTTCGAAAATCTGAAACTTTTTCAAAGCTCTGTTGCATCAAAATGACGCGTTTCTTGTTATAGATCAATCTGCTGGAGCAGTATAACTGAGCATGTGCCCAAATTTAGGAACATTATCTAGAGAGAATAAGGCAAACTGACAGTTTATTTTTGAAATTGATAGACAAGACAAAGAAGACAAAAGAGATATGGAGGGATCCTATTGGTGAAAGTGGGTGGTTACAATGGACAAAGAAGGTAGATAATATACTAACCGATAGCAAATCATGAGAGTGCCTATAGTTAGTTCATCATTTTCTCCTTTAGTCCATAGGAACGAACCATTTCGACCCATAGGATCGCTTCATACTCCCTACGTCTCCTTTATCTATCGCTTTGTCTATCAATGTCAACAGTCAGCCTGGCGTATGTTAAAAAGTAAATTACCTTCTTTGCAAGCGTGTCTTGGCCTGGATGAACCAGTTTTCCAGGTTTCTCTGATATGTATCCACAGTCATTTTTTCGGATGGAAATTTCGCATTGACAGCTTGGTAGATCTGTTTAGACAAGCAAGTACCTTCAAAGGCACCTTTTGGATTGGGCTGGTTTTTCATTGGCCGCCCTTTCCACGAAAATTTTTGAGCCAGTTCATCAGCAATCAGACACCTGGCAAGGTTGCGACATGACTCTTTAGGATTTTTCTTCATGTGAAGTTGCAATTCCTCTCTCTGAAATTAAAAAGAAACAAAAATGACTTGGTAAAAAGTGATAAGAATTTTAATTTTACATTTCCATTTTGTAATCAAGAAACCTTGATGGAATTCAATGAATGCATCCAATAAGTGGACCTTTAGCATCAGTCTCAATTAAACTTTGTTCTCCTATTATGGGAATTCCATCAAAGTGATATCCGTGGAATATTGCTGGTGAAAGTTCAAAAGATGCACTGCCTTTGTGGTGTTGAGTTTGCATTTTTTTGTTTACAGAAAAACAAGCCTAAAAACACTGTCTTAAATTTTTCCATAATATGCTTCATGAGGCGCAATAAATCCATGGGAAAATTTAAGAACGACCAAAAGAGTGATAACTTACCCTTGGTGAAAAAATTACGTGCAAAAATACATGCAATATTGGAAATCAAAATACACCTCTTCTACTTTTTTGATTGATAGGCCTGCGTCATTCAATATTCAGGGAAAGTGTTGTGAGAATCGAGTTCTATTGGACTCAACTACTCCAAACGAGGGGTTGAAAATTGAATAGAAACATTATTTTTCTGTAATCAGTTATTGACTAGTTACCTCCTAGTCAGTTGTTAGCTCACCAGGCAAGGAAGAAAAAAAGCTGCACACTATGTTCCACACTAAAAAAGGAAAATTGCATCTAAATATTTCATGTAACATTTGATTAGCATTTTTCTTGAAAATTACAGAGCTTTAACAATTTGAACAGTGCCTGATGCGACTCATTATCACCTCCTTGATTTTCACCCTTCATTTGTTTTGACCTTGAAAACAAATCTGTTTTCATTTCTTTTGTACTTTTTCCAAAAAAAATTTCTCACAGTAGCAAGGAGAAAAATCCTACCTTAATGAAATAATTTGTTGAATTTAAGCTGCTTTTTGTGCGTGAAATTTCATTCATATCTTCACCTGGTTGTACCTGCTTATTGCAAGAGCTAGCGTAACATTCATTAGTATTATTCACTTATGGAAAAACGAGTAAAAGCTTGTAATTTACTCACCAATTGTTTCCGCACTTTTGTATCTTCTCCCAGGGCTTTCTCCAATTTCTTGAAATCTTTTGTTGATTTCAAGGGACATGCAGAAAGGATAGGGACTGCCTCTTCTACTGGTGTTGCACTGTTGCTTGTGCTATATGTTTGACTTTGACTCCTGGATTCGTTTAGAGCTTTCAATTGAGCTTGATTTTGAAGAGTCACTTTAAACAGTTGTCGCAAGCACTGAGATGATACCGTTACAGCTGAAAAAATAGTGACACCACTCAGAGTTAACGAACAGTACAAACACGATAAGCTAAAACAGAATGCGCACCAGTTTAAGGGAAAAACATTTTTACGATCAGATTTAAGTAAAGCTCCTCTTTTAATACTTTTCAGCTCAAGGCTTTCCGAATGTCCATACTCTCTTCTGGCAACATAAACGCCTGACTTTTTCAGATTTCCAGGTCAAAAATATCATTTGCCTTCTGGGCTCTTAGCAGATAAAAATCTCATACTCCTCACCGTAGCAAAAATTTAATTTTTTATACCGAATGCTTATTTGAAGCAGAGAAGAGACTCTATGGCTTCCATGAGAATCTCTATAAAAAACTCAAGGCGTGCTGAGCCGGTTTAAAGATGAACAACAAAATAAACAAACAAACAAACAAACAAAAAAATAGGAAAAAATATATTAAGAAAACAAAAGTAAGTTTAATTTTACCTTCTCCGTCAGTATTAAAATTTTCTACAGGTTGAGACAGTGCAGGTTGCGGCTGTACAGGTTGAGGCAGTACAGGTTGCGGCTGCACAGGTTGAGGCAGTACAGGTTGCGGCAGTACAGGTTGAGGCAGTACAGGTTGCGGCAGTACAGGTTGAGGCAGTGCAGGTTGCGGCAGTACAGGTTGGGGAGAGGGGTTCATATTTTCAATTTCACGAACATCAGAATCCACACTATCTAGTGCCGCTCTTGCTTCTTTAAAGGTTAGAAGATTCTCTGCATAAAATTTTCGGACTAAATATGAAGACCAATCATCTTTGACTTCGGTTGCTGCTTGTATTAATTTATTTAGTGCAAACGAATTTACTTTTGGGTAAGCGCAGCGATCCCTCTTTGGCGTTAGCCAGTTTGTCGGCGCAATACCACATCTACCGTCCTCGAACAGAACGACATTCCACGACCTGAAAATAAAAGAAAAAAATATTCGCATTCAATTCTCTTATTTGCACCACTCACGGAGGATGGGAATTTTTTATTAAAATCTTTAGTGAAGATGTAAATGAAAGAGCAAATGAACTAGAAAAAATTCACGGAGAGACATTGTTTGCTTTGTGGGAGTAAATATTAAGAAAATTTGTTTGTTTTTAAAAATTTTCAGAACTTAAAAAATTACCAAAAAACCCTGAAATTCAAATATGTCTGAATACTTTAAGTAGGTAATTTATTATTTCATTGATCCAATCTTTGACTTTTTGTAAAATGAAAAAAAGAGTATTAATTGGACTAAATTTTTCAATTGGGAGGTACTATTTCTGACTCATCCGTAAAAACACCCCTTTGCATAGGGAAACTGACGGCTCATAATGTTTCTAAATCGAGCCAGAATCTGATGCACTTGTGGGGCAGTAGTGAGAACGTTGGAAAATTAAGAATTATTTGGAACTTAAAATAACGAAAAAAAGTAGTAAAAAAAATTCATTTCACACATCTAACTTAACTTCTTACCTAGTACAAAATACTACTGCGAATCCGAGTTCAATAGAGGCACGGCTATCATAGAATGCTTAGACAAATCCCTTGATGAAATTTTCGATGGAATCAAGTAATTTTTGCTTAACAGATTCTCAACAGGCCAGGCATTCAGTATAGAAGATAGGGATGAAACTTTGTATATTCCTAGCAAGGAACTATCTAATGGGTAATCAAAATAGCTTTCTTGGAAAATAAAGCGTCGTCCTACAAGCATCATTTTGTTTGCTGATCGGCTTTTACAAATGTTTTCAATTATGATGACTCGATTTCTTGCGATCACGGAGCCATCTCCGCAGCAGGTGCCTCTTCCTTCATTGTACAGCAATTATCGCCATCTCGGGGAGAGAGTTCAAAAAATTTATACTTGAGAGATTGAAATTGGGGATCGCAGACACCGTCTGTGAGGGGACCACCAAAATTTGGCTTTGATACATCCGGTTCTACAAAGTACGGCCAGGCTTTTTGCTTGAATAGCAAATCGTTCTTATACAATTCTTCTAGCCTTCTTGCTATTTGTTGCAAGACACCACTGCCTTTTGTGATAAGTTTTAACAAAAATTGGATGAAACTTTCAAATTTAAATGCAGAGCAATCCTCAATACCGCCAAAAAATTCAATATCATCACTAATGTGTAGGAGGTTGTGAAAATTATGGGTAATAAAATCTTCATCATATAGCACCCTAAATTTTTCAACAAAATATCTCAGTAAATTTCGCGCATAAGAGAGCCAGTGCGCCTCCAGCATCATTTTTTCGTCTAGCAATAACCTTACTGCTACCACCAGGCAGAGGAAGTGTTTGTACTTTTCGATGGGGATTCGGTTATAGTTGAAGATAACCATCCCATGATAACACAAAATTTGCCTCCATTCAGTGCCTTTAAAGAAGCTAACCTCTTCGTAGGATCGAGGTCTGCGGGAAAATTCTCGAGGTGCAAAACGAGCAAGTTGTTTTGAATGTTCTATAAGCTCACCCCTGCCTGCCGGTGGCATCCTATGCGGTCGTTTGCCAAGCAGCCAAAGGTAGACGGTTGTTCGACAAACACCCAACAAGATCAGGTGTAAATAATCTAGAGAATAAGACTGTGGGAATTGGAGCGTTGTTATTCGCTCAAGCGGAGTCCGAAAATGATGAAAAGACTCGTCAGTTTGGTTTATAAATTCTTGATGACTTCTGGGCTCAGCATCGTTTCCAAAAAAAACTAGCTTGGATTGTTCTGACCATGTGCCTTTAACTTTGCAACGTGTACAAGAATTTATACCAGTACAGTGCATTATATCGAGGGCCATTGCTTTTGCTGGCGCGTCGCAAATACAGCCTTTTACACTAATGGTAAAATGCTCTACGTCAACTTCTAGTCCATCCTTAATAAGCCTTTCTAGCTCGTCGACAGCATGTTTCAGATAGTCTGGTTTTTTTGGCTTATGATCATTGTAAAAAAAACCCTATGGGGAAAACTATATGTGACAGAGATTTGATGTTCCTAATGCGGGCAAGAATTGGCCAAAGTTCACAACTTTTGCTCTTGAATAAATTTACACCATCAGTGCTAATGTGGAGCTCTACATGCCTCCTTTTATGACCTCTCAAAATGCGGGACAAACATTTCTCAGCGCCAAAATGTAGGTACTGCCCGCCACTTGGAACGTCTACTGGTTCGGATGCTGGACGACGAGTGCTTATCAAGCCCCGAGCAGTAGAGGGAAGTTCTGATAATTCAGATATTAGTTTCAGTTTTTTGAGAAGCCTATCAATTTTACTCTGCTCAATTTGTTCATCAAGAGCCCATTCCTTCAAAGTGGAGCCCACCTCTTTGTGAAGGACTCTGTCAGCTAGGAAAGCCTCATCATAGTTGTTCCGATCAGTCTCATCTTCATCTTTGAACTGGCTCAGCACACGTTCTAATTCACTTTGCGAGTTCATGCTTGCGCAAGAAACATCATTAGTAAAAAAAGAATCCAAGTCAAAATCTTCCTCAGCAAAATAACTGAAATATTGGTCATCAGAGAGTTCTAGTAAATCAAAAATATCAATTTCAAAATCCTCTGGGCAATCGGCTAAAAATGTCATCAGATCAGAAAATTCCATTGAATTGATATCAGGGCCACTTGTTGCCTTGTTTTCAGGTGTTAAAAGGGGTTCAGCCTGAACATCACTCAGACATTGAGGATGAGTATCAGGGTTACTAGAATCTGGAGCAATGTTGGGGGCTATAAAATCTTCTGCACTGCTTGATTCAATATTGGACGCATTACCTGTGATTAGATGTAGGTTTGACGACTCCTCCAAAGAGCAGGAGTCGTCCGTAGAAAAATCTTCACTGTTATCATCATGAGGAGTGAGGTTCGAAAGTTTAGGACAGAACTGATTGGAAGGCTGGGCATCAGCAAAAAGTACTCTAGTTACTTCTCTCCTTTGAGACCTTTTAGAAAGGTGGTGGAAAAGCAAGCGCCTTTTCGACCTCTTATGTCTATAAGCCGGCTCATCAGGAGTTGACTCCTCATTCTCAGAGGTTGCAGAACAATTGGAATAGGTGTGCTTGGATCCATATTTGACAGCAAAATCTGGTAAAATGACAGGAGATTGGATGGAACCGCAAGGAATATATTTGCATTTTAATAAATATAAGAATTTTTCTTTATATTCCGTTCTTAACCTAATAGTCAGTATGTACCTACCAAAAAAAAGACTCTCAAAAAGGGGAGGAAGGGGATAATTAAAGTCTGATATCATTCAAAACAGAGCTATGGACCTTTGCCAAATTTTGCCAGACTTGAACAGTGGGACAGAAGATATATAAATTTCACTAGCTGCACAATAAAATGCTATGAATCTTCTATCTCGCTCTACAAGTTGGATGTATTTCTGCCAAACGAAACTATGAGCATTAAGGTGATTCGATGGACGCCATATTTTGTGTCAGAACGGTATGCGATATGTCGCATCAATTGGTTCCATTTTTTCAGCTACTCTACATTTATCTCGAATTTTAAGATCGCAACTCTGTTGTCAGGAGACTAAATCACTCACTTACCAATTTTAACAAAGATATTCAACGTAATAAAGGCATTTTTTTTAGAGAGAAAATATCGCATTCAGGGCAGTTTCGATATCAGTTTCGAATGCGATGTTTTCTCTCTAAAAAAAACCACGCCGTTATTACGTTGAATTTCTATGTTAAAATTGGTAAGTGAGTGCTTTAGTCTCCTGACAACAGATTTGCGATCTCAAAATTCGAGAAAAATGACGAGTAGCTGAAAAAATGGAACCAATTGATGCTATATATCGCATGCCGTTCTGACACAAAATATGGCGTCCATCGAATCACCTTAAGACATGAGCCCTGAGACCCATAAGAATATATGCATAACAGGGGCGTTCACATCATACTGCACATAGTTCGGTTTGGCAGGAATATTCAGTCGGTCAACTAATTTGGCGTAGATTCAACAAATTCGAGAAAGGCTAACTGGTAGTAAATAAGTCGTTCTGTAGGTGAGCCTGCAAACAATGATCCTTGGCATACTGCAGTTCAATGAGAGGAAATCTGATCAGGGCTCATGCTAGTAGTCTGACAAGTATTTCCGTGCAAATCAAACTCCGGGGCCGGCAAAATCTTTCTGCTTGATTGTCAACAACCCTATCTGATAAAAGTCTAAAGCACAGCAGTTAACACTTGGTTACTGAGCAAATAATAAAGCCTTTAAAAATGCCACCAACGGTCGAAAGAAGCCTACAGATTTGGCAATGCATCAAATGAATTTAGCAGAAACTCAGGTCCGGATCCTTTGAAATCAAGTTCATGAGGGGACAGACGAATCTATTTAGTGCTTCTTAGGAGAGGAGCAAATAAAAAAAAAAACAGTTACACATGTGTGGGCATGGCCAATAATGTTCAGTGCACGGGTACTTACATGAGTGATGGTTTCAGTTGTGAGCAGTAGAGACAGCAGAAAAAGGAAAAACGAAACAGTCGGCACTCCTCGTAGGCAAGAATTAGAACCGCTACATCATGATGGATTAGGATTTTGAACGGTTTCAACGATTTCGTTAAGGTTGCGTTCTAGAATTAAAACCGATATCACTACACCAAAATCACCAGCAACAAGTTCAAATTCGCCACAGGCCACAGATCACAGAAGTCCGTAATGGTTGGTTTCAAGGCCACGCCGCCGACGGCGCTGTCCGCGCATTGGGCCCGACTTTAGGCGGGGAAGGTAAGATAGCTAGGGGGGTAAAGACGCGCCTTCAGCCTAGTTGATACCGCCGGATATACGAGCTAAGTGTACCCGTATCAGGCAACGGCACTGATAAGACTGGCATTTCCATTGTCTCGGTCGGTACACTTACTGCGGTTGTTAGGTTGCCTAAATGTTCATTTTTGAGAAAAGATATGAATATTTTTCCGCGAAATTTTCAGGACTTTTTGGCGGAATTGCGAGCAAAATTGTCCGGAAAATTGGTGGAAAAATGTTCTAAAGTTTACCTAGAATCTGTGTATTATCGAAGAAAATTTGGCATCGCCTGAAGGCTCATAGGGCGTTTTTCCTTA